AATTATCAGCACCAGCATTGTTGAGACATACCACACTATTAAAAAAAATACTATGTACACTGGAATGGATGAAGCTTTTGGCATGCATAATCGGTATCTCTCACTTATTAAAGCAACTCCACACAGTTGATGTGTGAACAGACTGAGCTTCCTGGCAAGACAGTTCTTTAGTTGCCCTTTCTTTAAATAGTTGTTTGATGTTAATATTTTATGGTAGTTTTGTATAATGTTTCTATACCAGATTTTGCTTTTCTCTTGTTTTTGTTTTTAAATAAGACCTTCTTTTAATATTTGGAAAAACAGCAGCAAAATCAGCAAAAAGGCAGCAGTAAACAAAAAGACATTTCTGGAGAGGCAGGGCTAGTCAGGCAGCAATGTTCAGACTTTCTACACTTAACAAAAACAGAAGTTGCTAGAAAAGCCAAGCAGGTCTGACAGCATCTGTGAAGAGAAATCAGAGTTAATATTCTGAGGAAGTGTCAGTGGACCCGAAACATTAACTCCGATTTCTCTTCACAGATGCTGCCAGACCTGCTTGGTTTTTCCAGCAACTTCTGTTTTTGTTTCTGATTTTCAGCATCCACAGTTCTTTTGGTTTTTATTTTCTATACTTAACTCTGCATGAACCGTCACCAGAAGTCACTTGTCTTATTTATTCTTCAGTTAGAGTGAGTGCTGACAACCTCACCATTATGTCTACTACAGAATACTGGACTTCATATAAAATGCGCAAAAAATAACAGAACATGAGCCTGAAAGGAGATGCTGGAGACACTGAACCTGAAAAAGTATATTGCATAGATTAATTATTGGTGACATTCATTCCCTATCATCTTCCAATCTTGATGATCTTTGGTGATTCTGTCCATTAAAGTGTTCTTGTTGAGTTTGAAGATATTTGACAATTATTGTTTCCAAATGATTTTTCCCAACATATTCCCACATCAAAACAGATTTCAAAACAAAACTCAAGAGATCAGAAGCCACCACAGACAATCGTATCAAAAGCCCACATGGAATATCAGCATTAGCAGATGTTTGAAACCAAAGCAACTGAAAAATATTTAATCTCAGAATATCCTTTCTAACCAGAATTTTCCATGCCCAACTCCAATTTGGAAACACAGTACCATCCCACTTGGTCAACATGTAATCATGTGGAGTAAAATTTACATAAATGAGGACTGTATTGAGATCTTAAAGTTAAGCCAGCACACTAATGGACAAATTGTTTGAAAGGTTCACAGGATTGGGTGATGCACAAATGTTACACCCAATTTTACTCTCCATTGAGATCAATGGGATGGGTTTGGGGGGGTGGTGGGGAAAGCGGTTTCCTGATATTTCCAACTTAAAATTAAGGTTAAAATGTGACAAAGCCTTTTACGAGGATTTTAAGCTTGATAAAATTCCACATGGGTTGAATCTTGCTGGTGGGGTAATTTCCTCAAGTTGCTACTTATTTGTATATCAGTGCCTTTCATTCCAGCTATTTTCCTTTCTAAAATTGCAAACTAATAATTCAATCAAAAAAAAACTTATTTGATGCTGAAGAGGGTCTAAAATAAAAAAAAGTTAGTGAATGTTGATCCTGTATCTCATGTTCTCTCCCTATAAGGATAAAGCAGGAACGTGAGGTTGTTGACTTGCTTGCCGAGCTGGCTTGTTTTTGTTCAGACGTTGCATCACCATGCTAGGTGATATCATCAATGAAGCCTCTGAGGAAGTGATGTTATTCTACTCCGCTTGGAATTTATACCGTCTAGTCCACTACTCACCATAACAGACCAGATAGTATAAATTCCAAGCGGAGTAGAATAACTCGCTTCATCGGAGGCTCCACTGATTATGTCACCTAGCATAGTAACGAAATGTCTGCACAAAAACAGGCCAGCTCGGCGAGCAAGTCAACAACCTCACCCACAACCCGAGTTACAGATCTTTGCCAAAACTGTAAACACCTTCGGGCGTATCATGCTAAAAATTGCTGGACAATGGGAAACCTTTGCCAACTGACTGAGCTCTACTCGTGAACAACTTCACTTTCTCCATGAATGCCTCGGGAACCGGGTACTGCCCCGCAGCATGAATTACAAGCCTCCACTCAACAACCCACATGCATATAAAATAGCTGAACAGAACCGACTTGGATTGCTACGAGCAATGATTAATGATGTCCATAACTGACTCCACAGGTACGAACGAGAAATTGCGTGCCAAAAATCACAGTATCTAAACACTGGACCAGCAGTGGCCTACAATCCTAGAACAGGCCATCACCATCAATCAACACAAAACCATAACTAAGAAGAGACACAAGTTACAGGAGAAACTCACCAAACTGATCCACCACAAAGACAAGGGCACATGGATAAGAAACCTATGCAGCAGACAACTCACAGAAACTGAGAAAGCTGTCCTATTACACGGACTGAACTATAACCACAAAGATGCGAACAGAACAGACTTCGTGGCCGCCATGGAGACTACATTAAAAGACAACAGACTCACGGACGAAATACACCATGCCATCCGACAAAGTATAATCCCCACGCTACACAGAAGGAACAAAGGGGACAACCTGAATGCATCAGAGAGAAAAGCACTAGACAAACTCAAGACAGACAAGAACATTATAATCCTACCAGCATACAAAGGGCGCATGACTGTCATTATGAACAAACCAGACTATGTTAAGAAAACACAGGCATTGCTTGCAGATACAACCACTTACCAACAGGTGGCGATAGACCCAACACCACAGCTAGGTAATAGGATCAGCCAGACCCTGAAGAGAGTAAAGGATGCAGGACAGATAACAAAGACGGCTACATGAAAATGAAACCAGAAGGCACAAACACCCCCCGCTTCTATGGACTTCCTAAAGTACACAAAGCAGAAATCCTCCTCAGACCCATTGTTTCCCTACCAGGCACACTTTTACACAAACTGGCCAAGGACCTACAACAGAGATTGAAACACCTAGTCAACAGATCACCCATTCCATCCACTCAACCCAAGAATTCCTCAATATCCTCAAGAACATAAATATTAGCGATGATGAGATTATGGTATCCTTTGACGTCACAGCTTTATTCACATCAATCGACATCCCAGTAGCCAAAGAAACAGTGGTCACATTACTAGAGGAAGCAGCAATGCAGACCAGCAGTTCCATCAGCAATGACAACATACTTAAACTACTAGACCTGTCCCTCACCACACACTTCATCTTTAATGGTCAAGTATACAAACAGATCAATGGTTCATCAATGGGTTCACCCATCTCAGGACTCATTGCAGAAGCAGTCATGCAAAGACTAGAACACACCGCCCACCCTCGCATTCAACCTAAACTGTGGATCCAGTACATAGACAACACTTGTGTCATCATTAAATGCAACAAATTAGAAGAGACCCACTGCCTCATCGCCAATGTAATCGCAGGAATTAAATTCACAAGGGAAGAAGAAAACAACAATCAACTTCTGTTTCTGGATGTTAAAGTTGAGCGTATGACCAACGGGGAATTCCAAACCTCAGTATATAGAAAAGCAACCCACACTGATCAAATCCTCAACTTCCACAGCAACGACCCCAACATCCACAAGCAAAGCTGCATTAGGACACTATTTAAATGGGCCAGGACACACTGTAACACTCTGGAACTGCTAAGAGGAAGAGCACCTATACAAAATCTTCGCTATCAACGGATATCCCTGCAACTTCATCCACAGATGCCTACTAAACAGACAACAACAAGAGGACACAGTATGCCCTAACGCACTGGCCACACTGCCCTACATCAAGAACATATTGGAACTGACAACAAGACTCCTAAGACCACTAGGAATCATGGTAGCACACAAGACCATAGCCACTCTACGACAAACACTCAAGGATTAAAAACTCCATTCCCACAACATGCAGAAACAACGTGGTTTACAAAATACCATGCAACGACTGCCACAAAAATTAAATTGGACAGATAGGAAGGAAACTAGCCATCAGAATATATGAACATCAGCCAGCAGCAGAATGTTATGGCGAACTCTCCTTAATATTGGTACACTCAGACAATGAAGATCATCAGTTCAACTGGGATAAGGTAACCATAGTAGCCCAAGCCAAACATAGATATGCACAGGAATTCCTAGAGGCATGGTTCTCCACTCAAAATGCAATCAACAAACATATAGAATTGGACCCCACATACAAACCCATACAGATCAAAACGAGAAATGACACTACTCACTATAATGGACCAGACAGTATAAATTCCAAGCAGAGTAGAACAACATTGCTTCAGCGGAGGCTCCACTGACTATATCATGAAATGTCTGAACGAAAACAAGCCAGCTTGGCGAGCAAGTCAACAATCTCACCCACAACCCGAGCTACAGATCTTTGCCAAAACTTTAAATAAAGCATTTACTAATCTTTAGAAATATAATTTTACCCGGTTAAACTCTGTTGTTGGTAGAAGAAGGCACACATTGTAGCTTCGTTCACCGTATTCCAATGTTACTATATCAAAAGCAACAGCCTCAGGAACAGCCAAGAGGCTAGCGAGAATCCAGATACCAATGATCTCTAAGGCTGTCAATAGAGGCACTCCAATCCCCTGAACCCGGCTCCAGGAGACAACAGCCCGATACCTGTTTCAAAACAACAGGAGCCACGTTTAGTTAATCATAACAATCCCTTACATTTATCTTTACCTTGTACATTCTACACAAAGCTCCAAGTGGCAAATATACAATACAACATAATACTAGAGTGTACGACAATATATAAAAGTGTACTAAAGTGTTCCAATTAGAACCAGTTCATTAACAATATTTGACATTCAAAATCCATTACTGTCTGAAAGTATACAGCCATGCTTGTTGTAAAGAGTTACATTCTGTAAGATTTACATAGTACAGAAATATGCCATTCAACCCAACTGGTCTGTGCTAGCACTAAGGATGTATTACAGCCTCCTCACACTTTAATTATCACATTTAAGCCAAACACTCTCTCCATCAACTTCATTCTCATATACTTATCTAGCCCCTACTTAAATGCACCTAGCCATTTGTTTCAGCTGCTCTATCGCGTAGTAAGTTCCATATTCTCACCATCCTTAGAGTAAAGAAGTTTCTCCTGAATTCATCACTGGATTGATTATTATACTTGTCTCATATTTATTACGTCATTCCAGATGTGCCAATGGAGAAGAAATTTGGGCAAAGTGATCAGTATTTCAGAATTATAGTCCATTTTCCAAATGCAGTCTCTGAGCACAATTTCACACTCAATACAAGTATAAATCTAAACGTGTCCTCAGAAGCATTGACTGATCTTATACTCCCAAGTTGTAATGCAGTGGATGACTGAATAAAGTTGGAACACTGATGTACAGCTTCTAGTTCTAAACTCTCTGGATCTTTGTTTGGGGTGGCTCCTCTGTCTAGCCATCAGGCCAAGGACTGTCAAATTCTTGTCTGCCATCCTGTGTGAGGGCAATGTGCCTCACGAAAGGAGGCCTTCAGGCCAGCAGATGTTGAGCAAGGGGTTCAGGTTGAATCCTTCAGTGAAGTCAGTGTACAGAAGGATGCAACGTTTCGGAAAGTGGTCACTTTGAAAACATTGGCCATGACGGTCAAGAAGAACAGTTTTCCAGCATTTATTTTTCATTCCACATTCAAAGCCACATTTACCTACATTGGCAAGCAACTGTAAATAGACCTATTGTAGCACAGGAACCTGTAAAAAATCTTTTTTGCTGACCCATATACTCTAGTAGTATTAATACACGAAATTCTGATAAATTGAACCTACCATTTATACCAGCATCAAAAAATGATGGATTTTTGGGCGTTTCTTTTTTCTCTAAACGTTGGTATTGTTAGCAAAGCCAGTATTTATTGGCCATCCCTGACTATCTTTGAGAAGATGGTGTCGAGCTGCCTTCTTGAAACACAGTATTCCATGTGGTGTAGGCATACCACAGTGCTGATAGGAAGACAATAACAGGATTTTTACCTAATGGTAACTGCATGACAATATAGTTCCATGTCAGGATAGTGTGAGATTTGAAGAGGAACTTGCAGGTGATACTGTTCTCATGCATTTGCTGCCCTTGTCCTTTCAGGTAGACAATAGGTTTAGAAATTGTTGTTGAAGAAATTTTGCAAATTATAACTGTGTATTTTGTAAATGGTGCATACTGCAGCCAAGATGCACCAGTGGTGGAGAGTGATTGATAAAGTGCCGATCAAGAGGTTGCATTGTCCAGGACGATGCTGCACTGTCCAAACTGCACTTATCTAGACAAATGAAGAGTTTTCTATCGCACATCTAACTTGTACATTATAGATGGTGGACAGGTTTTGGGGAGCCAGGGGACGTGTTACTCAGTGCTGGATTCCCAGCTTCTAAGTGTGGAGGTGGTATTAGGTATGTTCCCATCCCTATCTTCTTGGTGTGGGTGTTCTTTAGGTGTTTATATAGTCAATTATGTTTGAAGTCTATTATGTCTGATTGAACGAGAAGACACTTGTAAAGTAAACAAGATGAAATTTACAGGTTATAATCTTTATGTTACCACAAAGACTGCTGGTAAGATGTAGTCTTAGTTTTGCCTCCTGTGAGATGCTACTTTACTCTCCCGCCAAACCCTCATTACATCATTACTTTAGTACTCAATCTGTAACCTCATGGGCCCGGCATATTCCCCACTCAACCATTACCAACATGCCAGTGGATCAACCCTAGTTCAATGGAGAGTGCAGGAGGGCATGCCAGGAGCAGTACCAGGCATACCTGAAGATGAGGAATCAAGCTGGTGAAGCCACCAAACAGGACGACTTGCACGCCAAACAGTGAAAGCAGCAAATGATAGATGGGGCTAAGTGATCCCACAACCAATGGATCAGATCTAAGCTCTGCAGTCCTGTCACATCCAGTGGTGAATGGTGGTGGACATTTAAACAACTAACTGGAGGAGGAGGCTCCACAAATATCCCCATCCTCAATGATGGAAGAGCCCAGCACATCAGTGCAAAAGATAAGGCTGAAGCATTCGAGCAATCTTCAGCCAAAAGTGCCAAGTGGATGATCCATCTTAGCCTCCTCCAGTGGTTCCCCAGCATTACAGATACCAGTCTTCAGCCAATTAGATTCACTCCACGTGATATCAAGAAACGGTTGGAGACACTGGATACTGCAAAGGCTATGGGGCCCTGACAACATTCCAGCAATAATATTGAAGACTTGTGCTTCAGAACTTGCTGCTCTCCTAGCCAAGCTGTTCCAGTACAGTTACAACACTGGTATCTACCCGACAATGTGGAAAATTGCCAAATTATGTCCAGTACATAAAAAGCAGGACAAATCCAACCTGGCCAATTACCACCCCATTAGTCTACTCTCAATCATCAGTAAAGTATCATCAACAGTGATACCAAGCAGCACCTGCTCAGTGATGCCCAGTTTGGGTTCCACCAAGACCACTCAGCCCCTGACCTCATTACAGCCTTGGTTCAAACATGGGCAAAAGAGCTGAATTCCAGAGGTGAGGTGAGAGTGACAGCCCTGGATATCAAGGTTGCATTCGACTGAATGTGGCATCAAGGAGACCTAGCAAAACTGGAATCAATGGGTATCAGGGGGAAAACTCTACGATGGTTGGAATCATACCTGATACATAGGAAGACGGCTGTGGTTGTTGGAGGTCAATCATCCCAGGACATTTCTGCAGGAGTTACAGTAGTGTCTTAGGCTCAACCTTCTTCAGCTGCTTCATCAATGACCTTCCCTCTATCATAAGGTCAGAGGTGGGGATGTTCACCAATGATTGCACAATGTTTAGCATCATTTGTGATTCCTCAGATACTGAAGCAATCCATGTTCAAATGTAACAAGATGTGTACAATACCCAGGCTTGGGCTGAAAAGTGGCAAGTGACATTTGCACAACACAAATGCCAGACTATGACCATCACCAATAAGAGACAATCTAACCACCGTCCCTTGATATTCAATGGTGTCACCATCACTGAATCCCCCAATATCAACATCCTGGGTTTTGTCATTGATCAGAAACCCAACTGGACTCACCACATAACCACAGTGGCTACAAGAGCAGGCCAGAATCTGGGAATACTGCGGTGATTAACTCATCTCCTGTCTCCTCAAAGCCTGTCCACCATCTCCAAAGCACAAGTCAGGAGTGTTGATGGAATTCTTCCCACTTGCTTGGATGAGTGCAGCCCCAACAACACCCCAGTAGCTTGACACCATCCAGGACAAAGCAGCCCGCTTGATTGGCACTACATCCACAAGCATCCGCTCCCTCCACCACCGACGCTCAGTAGCAGCAGTGTGTATTATCTACAAGATGCACTCAGAAGCACCTTCCCAACCCACGGCCACTTCCATCTAGAAGGATGAGGGCATCAGATATATGGGAATACCACCACCTCCAAGTTCTCCTCCAAGCCACTCACTATCCTGACTTGGAAATATATTGCCGATCCTACGTTGTCGCTGGGGGAAAAACCTGGAATTCCCTTCCAAATAGCATTGTGAGTCAACCCACAGCAGGAGGAATGCAGAGCTTCAAGAAGGCAGCTCACCACCACCTTCTCAAGGGCAACTAGGGATGGGCAAGAAATACTGGCCAGGCAACAAAAGCCACATCCCACAAATGAATAGGAAAAAAACCCTTTCATACCAATGTACAAAATTTCCCCCCAAACTTTTTATAATACCCATTATTACATTTAATACTATCCCATCTCCCTTCAAGTCTTAGACTTTACACATTCAGATAGTTTGAGGTTTCACTATCCTCTCTAAATGTATTCTGTTCAGACTTGGAAGAATGATAGTTCGTTAGGTAGATGTTAGTCGTCTTGGACAGTCTTCCTGATAGTCTCTGTTTCAGGTTTACCATTCAGTTCATCCTAATCGATAATCTGAGGATGGCCTGACAGTATTGGGATGAGGTACCTGCAGTTCCCTAGTATGGCTGCTTTGACATACAAACAGTATATAATCTCGCAATTTACACCTCTTGACTATTGTACATTTGCTGCTTAAATCCCTGATCCGCACCTGTTACCCTGATCCTAGCATGAAGTAACCACATCAAGAACACCTTGTATGTTGCGATTATTTCATTTAAGATTCCGATAACTGCTTCCATGTTCGTTGTGTGCAATTTCTTAACTTTGATCCATCAGGAGAAATAATAATAATGAGATAAGCCTTTCCATCAAATACAGACAAATTCTTCCACACTTATTGCTAAGGTCTATTTGGGAATTTAGTGGGCGTTAAAGGCTCATTTTATTCAGGTCTGTGGATGTCACTTGTCTGACAACTGCCAATGAGTTCTTCAATGTCGTTGGAGATCCCAGGCCAGCATACTGAGAACTGGGCTCTGGCTTTGCACTGGGTGATTTCCAAATGCTCTGCTGCAGCTCCCCAAGATGTCCTCTCGAAGTGAAGCTGGGATGACGAGTTATAGAATCATAGAGTTGTACAGCATGGAAACAGACCTCGTCCAACTCGTCCATGCCGACCAGATATTCTAAATTTGCCATCAATTGACCCATATCCCTCTAGGCCCTTCGTAATTATATACCCATTTAGCTGCTTTGAGCTGC